ACTCATGCAGGACATTATTGTGGGATCCAGGCCCTCAGCTGGATTCTTTGGTCTTTAATGTGTGGACAGGTTTCCTGCACTCTCTTTTTGTTGCACTCTTATGATTCTTTGGGTGACTATTATAAATAATTCCATAAAATGTGTCCTGTATTATACTGCTCCCCTTGCAAAAGCCCAAACTAAACACTCTCCATCCAATTCCCTTTAACCTTGAGCAGTGCTTTGCCTCTTAGGGCATCACATCTTCATCTCAAATATAAAGAGAACCTAATTAAACCAATAAGCAAATGTAGTGCATCCATATGGTGGAGTGTTACTCAGCCATAAACAGGACAAAGCACCGACATATGCTACAACATGGGTGAATCTTGAAAGTGTTCTGGTAAGTAAAGGAGCCAATCACTACAGGTCCCATTCTGGATGATGCCATTTATAAGAAGTGTCTGGAATAGGAAAATGCTTGAAGGCAGAAAGTAGATTAGTGGTTGCCAGTGGTGGGGCGAGGGTGGGACAGGAAGTGACTGGTAATGGGAATGGGGTTTTGCGGGGAGAGATGGAAAATGCTCTGGAATTAGAACAAGGCAATGGTTACACAACCTTAAATACAACAAAGCCCTTGAAGTGTACAGTGTAAGATAGTATATTTGATGGTGTGTGGATTATATCTCAGCAGGAAGGGAGGTGGGAGGGAGGAAGGGGGCAGACAGACTAAGTTAAACATAGAGTTACCACATGACTCAGCTATTCCATTTCTAGGTATAGGCCCAAGAGAAATGAAAACATATGTCTACACAAATCTTCTACATGAATCCTCTTTGTAACAGTATTATTTATAATAGCCAAAAGTGGAAACAACCCAAATGTCCATCATAGAAGACTGAATAAACAAAATGTGGTCAATCCATACAATGAAAGATTGTTCAGCTATAAACAGAATGAAGTACCACACGTGTTTCAACATGGATGAACCTGGAAAATACTAAGCCAAGTGCAAGGAGCCATACACAAAAGACCACATAGTATATGAAAGCACAACTACATGGCTGGGTGATGTCCAGAGAGACCAAGGTACAGAGATCAGAAGTAGATTAGTGGTTGCCAAAGGCTGTGGTATAAGGAGGTGATAGCTAGAGGTTACAGAGATACTTTTTGAAGGATAGAAAAGTTCCAAAGTTGATGGTGGTAATGAATGCACAATACATTTCCTACTAAAACCACCAAATTATGCATTTTAAATGGGTGCCTTGTATGGTCCATGAATTTGCTCAATAAAGCTATAAAACAAATTAAGTAATGAATCAGTAAAAATAAGTGCAAGGCCTCATGGGCTACCCAAAGTTCCGCTCACCATTCAGAGGCTAAGAATCTATTGATGGCAACGAAGGCCAGGTGAAAGAATTCTCTAACTTACCTCTGTCAGAGAGCAGAAATGCAAAATGAAGGGCAATAAAACAATAGATGGAAGTGTAAAAATGTGAACATTTACAAATATTGGGATTTGGATTGCCCTTTCAATATTAAAAAAAAAGGAGCAGTTATAAGGCCAGCAGCTCACGCCTATAATATGCCACCCTGCAGGCCATGATCAGGAGGGAAATCAATCTGAGCAAGCAGGTGGGCTCACCGGGGCAGGGCACTCACAGGTGTTCTTAGACTATGGGTGCGAAGGTCTTCACAGCTTGCAAGGCAACTAGCAGACAGTCCCTCCACTTAAACCGCTCCACCGTCCTCTGAATCTACTATTTCCTAGTGGAAGACCTATCTCAGGACATTCTGCCCTGCAATGCCTGCCTTGCATAACATGATATACACTGGGTTATGCCCATGTTCCTTAACAATGACAAGCTCCACTGCTTTTTTTGTAACACTTTCTGAGTCTTCTTTAGTTCTCAGCTAAAGAGATGCTCAGTAAAATGGTGATTAAGCCAATGTCTCTTTGAAAAAATATGACCACTTGGATTTGCAAAGTGATGAGAAGTCTACCAAAACACACACCTACACACACACACACACACACACACACACACATCCTTCCCATATCTATAAGGCTTGCACTTTCTTTTCTTTTTCTTACCTTGGAGACAGCATAAAAAGATCAGGTACAGCTGGATGCTATAGGGCATGCATCTATAGTTTCAGCTACTCAGGAGGCTGAAGTAGGAGGATCACTTGTGGCCACGAGCTCAAGACCAGCCTGAGCAACATAGCAAAGACTCCATTTCAAAAAAAGAAAAGAAAAAATCAAGCATTTACAGTTCTGCAAACCTCCTCTTAAAAGTTTTGTGACTATAATGTCTGAAAGTTAGGTGGATTACAATCACACTGGGGAAATATTAATTCAGAAGCTGCCTTGGATTTGTGCATAAATTGTGCCCTGGCCTGCAACAGTAATTATCACAAAAGAAGAAAGCCAAACATCAGCTCAGAAGGAGGCAACATCAAATTCAGCAGGCTTCATTAGTGGCATGAAATGTCTTATTTGATTTAAATCAATTGTTTGAACTTCCAGCCCATTTGGGTGGCAGTTCAAGTGAATCCAGTGAATTATAAATGGCCAGATCTCTGACCAAGAACCCAGTAGAGATTTTCAGTTGGGCTCTTCTGAAAAAGATACCCACCCAGTCCCTGCAGACCACCTAACAAGGATGGGGAAAAATCAGATGCCATCTCCCCTACCTGCTTTTCTTTTCTAGAACTTTCACAGGGGAAATCACACTCAAATTCAGTCTAGGCTTCCTAGATTTTTGCATTCTGGAGATAAAGACCTCTCTGCTTCCTGGTCTGGGATAAAGAAGACCTTAAGATCCAGGCCCTCAGAAATCTTGCAAATGCTCTAGGTCTGGGGACAGGCTCCAGCTCTCAGCCAGCCCAAGCAGGGAAGGCACATGGTGAAGGAACGCATCAAAAGCTCGAACTGGCTTGAGCAGGGCCTGCCCTGGCTGAAAGCCCGAAGAGATGAAGATGAAAGGCCAGAAACAAGCATCACTTGCCAGCACTAATGTATCAGCATCTGTGTTTGTTTAAAATATGTAGAGCCAGAGAGAGAGTGATTTTGTTTTCTTGCAGAGCATTCAGAGCCAATTTCAGCACCCAGATCTTCACAGGAAAACCATGTGGGGCTCTGTGAGGTGTGAGTGGGTATTAAAAGCAGAATTTTCTGCCTGAACTGGGAATTCCAATGATAACTAACTTTGGATTATTATTTTAAAGGAAAGGAGAAACTGCTATACACTTGAGATGGCCCATGCTATCATAGTGCCAATAGCTGTAAACCAAGTACACAAGTGGTCTTCAGTTGTTCTCAAAGTGAGGTCTCCAGAGTAGCAGCTCCACCTGGGAGTTTGTTAAACATGTGCGTTCTTCAACCTCACTCAGACCTCAAGGATCAACACCCAGCCTTGAGGCCAAATACACTGGGTTTAACTGGTTTAATCTTGTGGGGTATTCCAATGCACTCTTGAGTTTGAGAAACCACTGAGCTCCTTTAAAATTCACCAGCAAAAATGACTGACCTGTATCCTCAAACACAAGGACTCATTTATTTTATCCCTACTAATGGTACCTCCCATGTGTAATCTACCCTTCTGGCTGCAGTCAGAGCTAAGGAGGCCCCTCAAGCTGCATATTAGGCATTCGCTGTATGAATGTGCACTTTTAAACTCTTGAAAAGCTTGTCTATCCCCTGCCCCCAGCACAGCAGAAAAAAGTCAAATGAATGGGATTGCTTATCTGGTTAGACATGACATCCAGGCAAGGGTCACTCCGTGGCAGCACTGGGGACATTTTGGATCAGATTTATTTTTTCCCGTGGGAGCCGTCGTTTGCATTACAGGTTATTTAGCATCATCCTTGGCCCTGACTCTCTAGAGAAAGGTAGCACCCCTCCCTGCAGTTGTGACACCCACAATTATACACGGACATTGCTCAGTGTCTCTAGAGGACAAGAGCAGCCCTCTTGAGAACTGCTGGGTTAAACCAGCAACACAAATGTTAACTGCGTTGTAGGGAAATGATGGGGAGATGACTCAGGTTCTGCCCTTTGATTTTTGCATTGCTGTTTTCCTGGTTGTTGTGAGGACACAAAGCAAAAGTAATAGCACAACAGCAGAGATGATGCTATGGGGTGGCCATATCTCCCAACTTCCCAGTACTGTTTGACAAAGGTGCAGTTGCTTCAAAGACATTGATAGATTAGGGAATGACCTGAGCATAACATGGGTTTTGCCTTTGCTTATGTGTGACTTCATCCATGAGAAACTAGAAGAGCACAGAAAATTGCACCCAGCTGAACTCAGATACACAAAATACATGTGCACAGACTGCTGGAACATCTGCATGCTGTCTCGGGTCACATGCGCCTTAGCCACACCCACCCAGCCTGCTGTGTGGACTTCCCTTCCAATTTCAAATCATCTTCCTTCACACAGGAACTCCCCAGCCAACTTCAGGGCTTCTCAAGGGGAAGTGACCTACTGCCTGTTGTATTCATGTGTTTCTTAACCATTTAATATGTGTAAAACTACCAATTTTATTAGGTTCCCATCTCTTTCAACATATCACTGATGAGGTTTTTGAGTGTTGTGTGTCTAACCCCATTTTCCCATAAGTCCTGTGATTTTCATTGCTCATTTTTACATAGCACTGATTTTGAGAAGCATATATGTCATGTCACAGCAGAACTGGCTGTACTTTCTCCCGTAAGTGGAGTGTCATATGGCGGTAGAAAACTAACACCAAGCCCATCTCCTGCGGCTCCTCTCCTTTGGACTCAACTTTCAGGCTGAGCTAGGCAGCTGTTTCCACCTTTCCAGGCTATACTAAGCTCCAAAGCTCCCTGGACATTTGCTTCTCAACACATTTACCGCAACTTAGTGGCATCATCTGTCAAGGGCTGGCTTATCCCAGTGGACTTTAAGGGCGGAGCCTTGTCTTAATCAGCACCTTTTCCTCCCAAGTCTAGCCACAGTACATGTTCTGTCCACATTTGTCTGCTTACTCACCCACTCCGAGTCACCAGGCACTGGCGGAGCCCCAGCTTCCGGAAGATGTCCACCACTGTCTCCATGGGGGTATGGTCCGTGACCGTGAAAGGGCTAAGGTTCAGGATGCGCCTCAGCTTCAAGGGGTGCGGGCTGTTGGCTGGTAGTTCAGGAGGCTCCTCAGTAAAGTACATGATGGAATTGCTCACAATGCCCTCCTGCCTCTGTCTGGCATTCTCTAGAGTGGGGGTGAGCAGGAACAATAAGCCACACAGAACTCCCTTGCCTAGCCCCACCCCATCCCCCAACAACACCACAGTCCTACAGAAAAGGGTTCAGAGGGCAAATGACACATTCTTAATGAGAGACTTCAGCCAAACATCTGCAAAATTGGCATCTCTCTTAGGCTAATGCTGTGCAAGGGGCCCCCTGTGATGACCAGATCATTCATTGCCAATGTTTTGCAAGAAGATCCTGACCAACATGGCTCCTTTGGGGACATTCACTGCTGCCCCTTGGACTCGAGAGCACCCTAAACAGCCCAGGGCGCTCCATCCTTGCTTTCCAAACACTCCTTCACCTCACCATGAGCTGAAGTTTGTCATGACAAGAAACCTCATTTAGCTGCCCAGTGACCTTAATATATTATTTTTTAAAAACAAACTTTAAAATTGCCCAAATGGCATTATGAATCCTAAGAGGAACAAGAAACCAATAAGACCAGCCCAGGCTCACAGCCCAGAAATGCAGCTCAATCTCAAATATGACCCTTGGGACCAAAGAAACAACCCCAGAAAAGCTGCATCCCCCCCACTCCTTGGATCTCCTCTCTTAAAAATGGACCATTTTGTAGATTTTTCAAAGAAAGATAGTAAAATTGTTATGGTAGCAATTAGTCTATTTCAGTCTGTAGGCAAGGCCATGTGAAGCTAAAGAAAAGTAGGGTAACAGGAACTCATTAGAAATACAGCTTAATGCAGTGCTAGAAACCCAGGCTATTTTAAGTCACACATGAAATAAATCCATTGGTCTCAAGATATTTCTCCAAGGCGATTTTCCTTCTGTTGGAATTTTAATCTTTCTTTTGGTTCGTGGGAAAAGGTTAGGAAAAACGTACAGCAGTGCCTGCCTTAAAATGAATCCTGGTTTCTATAATACGTTTCTTGCTTTCTCAAAGACTACTATTCACCTATATTGTTCTTTCAAAAATAAAATTCTAACAGCCTCCTCTAAGGCCATTTAGTGCAATAGAGTACTCTAATGGAAAACTGGCAGCATTTGAGGTCAGGCTGAATCTGAAAAGGGGTCTCTGTTGAAAAGAGGAACAGAGGGCCTGCTGGGCAAATGCCTACACATTATATGGGTCAGGTTAAATCTAGTTACATCAAATAGGACATGATTCAACCACAAATAGCAGGCAATGCTGACGTACAATGTATTTTCAAATGCAAGCGCTGCACGCTACACACTGCACACTTTGCTCCTAAACCAAGATGATTTTTTCTTCAAGCACTAAGACAAGAGGGCAATAGTGAACATGTACTTATTTGCTCGCTTCCATAGACCAATTGATTCTCATGAAGTCCCACATAATAGGATTCTATCTGTTTCAAAAATCAGATTGAACATCAGGATTGGTCAAGCCACAAACTCCCGATCAAGAACTGATCATGTGAATTTGCTGAACCTCTTATAAGACCAAAATACAATTTAGTGAACCATCAACACAGTTGCTGAAATAAACAAGCTTATATTTCCTCTGAATCCACCCACTGGGTTAGAGGCCCTGATTCTCACAGCCACTCATTCTATGATCTCTTTCTCACCAGTGCACTTCCAGTGCCCAGACAGTACAAAGAAAATGGCAGATACTAAACGTATATTTGCCACATGCATGTGTGCATGCATGAACAAATGGGTCTACTAAATATCAGTACACCTTCTTCTGCATGACCTGTAGAATGCAGCCTGTGCCATAAAGACATTAGGAAGGAAAGCCCATGAGCCATTCATTGCCATGGAAGAGTCACAGGTATTGGCTGGTGTTAAAGCTGCAGATCTGAGGTGTCTCATTCCTACACCACACGGCAGTTGCTGCTCTCTTTAGGAGGGTTCTACCAAGTCATTTTGGAACTCTATTATAAAATCTTATTCTAAGGCTTCAAACGTTGGAGGTGGATGTGCTGTGTACAGGCCAAATGCTGGTGAATGGAAGAAAAACTAGCACAAGACCACTTTGCAACTCTGCACTGCCATAAACCAGCTACTCCCAGTTTAAATACGAATGTTCAACTCGACCAAAATGTCTGCAGCAAAACCCTGACATGTAAGTTCACAAAGGACAGAGACTGCACTGCCATCCCTGGACTCTGGCACTTAGGAGAGCACCAGAATATGGTGAGCATTCAGGAAATACTTCCTATATGAAGGATAAATGAACTCCTCTCCCAAGGAATAAGCCAGTGCTATCAAGAGTCTAGATCAGCAACAGTGAACTTTTTAGAGCTTTCAGTAATACAGACAGCCCTCTCTGGCACACAAGCCATAAGTTCTCCATCCCTACTCTACCCTTAGAGACCCCAAGAAATCTTCGGAGCCTAGGCTGGAAAAGAAACCCCCCAAAATTCAAAAATTCAAAATTTTAAGGAGACCTAGAAGAGAAGTGCACTAAGTACTAGTGCCTTTTAAAAATTTTCTATTTGCTTCTAATTTTTCCAATTTTCTATGAGTGTGCATTACTTTTACTCTAGAAAATTTACTCTAATAAACTTCATTTTAATTGTTTTAAGTTCAAGTAGTTAAGTTTTCAAAACTGTTTTTAATGTAAACAAAAATGTTTTAAATGAGGCATATTATATATTCCACAGAACTAGGGTGAATGGCCACAGCTCCTTAAAAATGATGTACATTTTATGAGCACACGCTAAGGTTTTGACATTCCACTTTCTAACAGCAATGAGGACAGATGCAAAAAAAGTAGATAATAAAGTGTTAGTGAGATTAACTTCACAGACTATGATAGGTTAAGAAATTTTTAAAGATTGGAAATAGTCACACATTTAGTAAGTGATTGAATGACTTTAGAGCAATGGTTCTCAATTGGGAATAATTTTGACCCCACCTCCAGGGGATATTTGTCCATGTCTAGAGACATTTGGTGTTCTCACAATTGGAAAGGGAAGATATTACTGGCATCTAATAGGTTAAGACCAAAGACATTGGTCAACATACTACAATGCACAAGACAGACCCTCACACAAAGAATAATCCAGCTCCACATGTCAATAGTGTTAAAGTTCAAAAACTCAAGAGTAATTGTGTTTTTTAAGGAGGCAATATTCCATCAATTTTTCATTAAAAATGCTTCCAAAAGGCAGATGTAGTTAATGAGAAAGGCTGAAATGGAAAATTGGAAGCAACCACCATAGTGGTCAGTACAAAGATGATATGATAAAAAGTAAGGACTATAATTAAGAGAGATCAGATGGAGAAGTCCTTCTACATATATATCTCTGTATATTTTAACATCCTTGGCAGAAAGTAGTTGACACCACTGCTCTTTATGACCTGTTCCAAAAATTAACAGCCCGCCCAGGCAGAAACCTCTTTATCCCTAAATAGTTTATCTGCCAGACCTGACATTTATTTTCTGGTTCAGTCCTGGATGTAGATCCCTTTCTGCAAGTAAGCATCTTCCACATGCTAGAGATTCATTATTAAGTCATCCATCAGACAAAACAATTTGAAAGTTCTCTTAACTCTTCCCCATAACTCTAACTTTCCATCCCTTTAATCATCTTTGTGGCTTCCCACTGAGTCCTCTCTGAACCCTAACTAGCTTAATTGCAGAATTCAAGACTAGGAGAGGCTGAGCCCTGCTGAGTACAGGAAGTGCCTCATATTCCCAAAGACAACAAGAGGTAAAGGCCCATTTACCAGGAATTTGAACAAGGGTCATCTACAGCCTCACGTGTTAATCATCTGAAGAGGATCACCTTGCACAGGTGGTGCAAATTTGTTTTCTAACAAAAACAATGGCTGTGCTTTGGCCTTCTACAGATGGATTGAAAATAACTAAATATTTTCAGCTTCATGTCAGCAGCTGCTACAATTTTGAACAAGACATGTTATTTTCCTCACTTACCATTCTTTTCTTACCGTAATTATATCTATCCTATGATAATCTTGGCTCCCAATCCCCAAAAAGTCAACGGGATATGGGATTCTTTTAGCTAAATGCTAATGTCATATTTCTACATTCATAAAAGGACATATGACTCCTCAAATACAGGTCATGAATTTCTCCACAAGAATATAGTGACTCTTCTCTTTTCACATATCAGGAAAATAGCTTTTCTGATTACTTGGAGCGAAACACCCCTTGCCTTTCTACAAACCGTGTAAATAGCAGTTTCTACACTGTTATCGGCCTGATTGAAAGCACAGAGGTATTATTTACACCGTGTGGTGCCTCTTTAGACATTCCAAACATAGCTTCTGAGAGAGTGCTCGCTTGCAAAGCTTAAATTTCTTCTCTAACCGGTTGATGCCAATTATTGCTTCCCACTTGATTACAGTAATGGATTTCAGCAAAATTAGTAAGCTGTTTCTTAGCAGGTGTGCCTACAGCTACACAATAGGTAATGAATTCTGTGACATTTATTTCTTGAGTTTCTAAATTTCAACCTCTGCTTAAAAGATTTTAGGGACCGAATAAAATTTTAAAGGCTGCTGATTACATTATTTTAAAACAAACCCAACCCTACTTAAACAACTTTTTAAAAACCTCATTATTTCTATGGCAATATTTCTTTGAGACAAGACCTACAATAAAGACAAGCATCACCGAGCACTCACGCACAAACCTGCTGTGGTGTCCAAAGTGTAAATTCAGTCTTTGGCTTGGGAGCCCTAAACATGCTTGAGCAACACACGAAAGTTGGATGATATAACTTATCTAAGCTAATTTTTATAAAACCTTTGAGGAAGATTCTTTAAAGAAATTTTGAAGCTATTTACTATGGAGAAGAGGTATTACAACTTGAAGGGAAGCCCCTTAGAAATAGGACACTTCAGGAATAGGAACGAAGGGCAGGGAGGAGGAAACAGTTCTCTGGTAAGGATGTATTCACAGTGGGACACTCAGTAGCCGTGCTCAGGAAAGAAATTCCCACTGACACACAACAGGAACACTGTGGGAGATGTACTGGAGAGTAGTACTGTCACACGTACATGTGAGCCATGCCACGAGCCCCAGCTGCCCATGGGATCCAGGGATGCTATGCAGATTACAAAACAATGATAGCCAGTGAGCATGGAATGTACTGTGTGAGAAGATGGGCTCTACTGGTCTTTCCTGAACCCTGAAATCCCCAGGACTCCAACCCTCTGGGGTTCTCTGCTCCTATTTCTGAGCATGTGGTCTCTAAGTTCTCCTCAGGAGCCTCTCTGCCTCT